TGTAGCGAGACGGGCATTGCACACCGTCCCTAATCCCGAACCAAACCTATTCGCTGGAAAAGACAGTTCTACTGGTCAGGCATTCTAATAAATGAAGATATTGCTTGTAGGCTAGTTATTTTCTTCTGATACGGCTAATCTAAAATTGATTACTTTTATTAAAGGGTAATTATTTTACCAATATAAAATTTTTTAAGTGCACCACAATTTTTAATAATTTTTTTATTTACTTAAATAGTCTTTAAGTAAAATTACACAATTAAGATTTTTAATATATATTTTAATAAAATAAATTATTGTTCCAGTATTTTTTTTTTTTTTTTTTTGTATAGTTGCAAGTCTTCTACCTTCTTAATTCTTTGTATTTTTTCGAACTTGGTTTTCTTTGTCATGGTCCAGTAGAACTTGGAAAAACTTCTGCCTCGAGAATATTTGCTATCACATTGAATTGTCTTTCCTCCGATATTAACAAATTGTGTGGCCTCAGCCTGTGCCAAGAATGTATTCTATTCTTTTCTGGAAGAAACATTATTTTATAAATAAAAGGAAAAGGACATTGTAGGTTTAATTGTAAGTTTAATTTTGGGTTTTTCTCAAGAAAGATGTAGTTTTTAGGCTGTAGGGATTTTTACCTTTGAAGGCAAAGTCCAAGTGCAAAAGCCATTCCACAATTGTACCATTTCAAGATTTCCGTCTTCTTCCCAAAAAAGGAGGGCAACCACATTACAACTTGATTAGCAGTACTCTAGGTTGTAAAAAACGTACAATAGCTAAGAGGCACTGAAGGCTCAGAAAATGGATACTGACTGTCTGACTCTCTAGTGCACCAGATCTGCCCATTCCCTTCAATTGGATGCCATTCTAGGCTTTGGAAGACCCTAAATCACAGTTTCGAAACCTCAAAGTTTCACAACTAATTGACTTTTAGCAAGAATAGTCTTACATAATTAGGGTTTTACATTGTTGCATAAATACCCAACTCATTGTTCAAATCAAATCATCGTCAAACCTTTTCTTTTTCCTTTTGAAGATCCCTTTCCTTGATAAAACAATTAAGAAAAAATTAGTTTATAAGTACACCACAAGACACAATTTGGAGTATAATTGTAAATTGATTGTGATGTATTTATTAAAAATGTATTTTATTTGTGGTATGATTATAATGTGGAGCATTTGATAAATTTTGTGGAGGTAATATAATTACCATTTATAAAATAACAAACTTTTTAAATAAAATAAGCAGTTTTATTAAAAAAAACATTTAAGTCTTCAATCTTTACTAGTTATTGCTATTGTCACCTACGTGCTACAAGTCACAACAACGTCATTTGCATTGTAGCATTGCTAACAATCCTAGTGTTCCACAAACTAAGCCTCTGTTTGGTGACCTTTATTTCACAAAAACTATGTTTTGAATAATATTTTTTGAAATGTGTGGTTAAAAAGTAGAGAAAAAATTTAAATTTACGAATATAATTTTTTATTATGTAATATGTGGTGAAAATGAATAAGAAAAATAAAGTAAATCAAACAGGAGCAAAAAGTCCTAGCTCCATCCCCGCTTGAAGGGTGACACTAAACTTACAAAAATCTTGATCATGTTAAAGAATCTTGTAGGCCGTTGTTGAATTGAATATGGTTCTGTGACAAAAATTTCTACATGGCGTAGC